TTCCCTACTGAATTACTCCTGAGGTCACTATACCAAAAAATGATTACTTATCCTAAAACTTTTGGTTTCCTATTTATTGGATGGAAAATGAATAGTATGTGAAATTATTCAAACGTGACGCAGTTAAAGTTGAATACAAGTCAATAGCAAATAATCTTATTGATAATAAGGTCATTAAAAGGTTAAAGTACCAAAATCTGCAATGAAAAATATTAGCCCCTATTTGTTTCCCATTATTTACTCATTAAAATGAAAAATATGACCTTTATCCATCACATCAAGCCACCTTATTTGAAAATCTACCTCTTGTGTGGGCCCATAACGGCTGTATTTTTCATTCTCATTCTTATATTAATGTGGCTCAAACGGGTAATGTATCGGCAAAAATATTCTGAAATTTTTTGTCCTTGTATTATTATCTTAATTCAATTTTTTTAATTAATAGTTGTGACCTCGCACCCACTGGAATAAAACCCTGGCTCCACCCCTTTGCATGTAGCAGGCCCAAAAGCCCATCAAGGTGATAAAGAAATAAAGATAGCTGCTCCCATGAAAACATTTTACCCTCTCATCCCATCTAGGCACGCATACTTGAAACTATCAGAGACTCTAAAATTGGGTCAAGATGGTAATTTTGAAAATTGCAAATACCACTTCAAAATGCACCTGGAAAAATTAATTCCAGTATTTTACTCGTAATTTGATTTGAAACATCAATAGCCCCAGTATCAAAGAAATTATTCTTCTCAGAACTGCCATAGTCGGAAACAACCTACATTGGCACTTGTCCCACCAATCCAGTGACCCAAAAAACAGAGAGAGAGATCTTCCATGAATAAAGCAAAGTGCCTCAAAAAAAATACAAGCATATTTTTACCTATTGAAGATCCTCATTGCCAATAATTCTCAACAAAAATTAGCAACATGACATCATTTTTCAATAACTTAGCATATGTTTGGCACAACTTAATTGAAAATCATTTTTCCTCAAACTCATTTCAACCACACATTTAATTTTGCACATGGACACATAACTTTTCTCAACGTTTTAACCACATATTTTCCAAAAAAAAAAAAAAGGATCAATTTTCACGTTAAATAATATCTTCCAAACAAACACTAACAAGTCAAAATTTTTATAGCAAATGACTTCAAATAGTGAATGACAAAGAGAATACAATGGCAGTAATCGAATTATCACGTACAAAACTTGGGCCAGCAGATGCATTTCTAACAATGTTCAAAAATCCTAATTTTATCAAATAAATCAATTAAAATCAAGTCACCTGCATCACCGATAAGATTAGTGACTAATTAAAAAAAAATTATCTATCAAAAAGAATTATTAAGCCCTTGTTTGAGCCCCATTCTTTTTGTTGGGGGGGGGGGGGGGGGAAAAAAAAAAAAAATAAAAAATTAACTTCAGTGGACTTGGCCCCTATTTGACAACGATTATTTGTGGAAAATAAAGTTCCGAATAGAGTTTTTTAAGAGAATAAGTGTTTAAATAGTAGGGAAAAGTTTTGGGTTTACATGCAAAATATTTTATCTTATGAATGTGTGGTTGAAAATGAGTGTGGAGGAAAAAAAGTTAAAAATAATGGGTTGTCAAACAGTGGCATACTTCTTATGACAAATCAATATAACCTTCACCCAAAAATAGAAACAAAGATAAAATTTACAAGCAAAAGCAAACGATTATACAAATAAAATTGCAATTCCAATCAAGCATAGAAAATCAATGGTAAAGCTGTAATGGAGACCATCTACCCCAAAATGAACTGAAAACAAAAAGAGTTTCAGGATGTATGGCTTTCAACAGAAAAATAAGGGAAAATTAAGGTGTCCAGGACAAAAGGTGGATCCATCTATTTATAATTCATCTTTTACCAAGACAGAGTTATGAACACGCTAAATGGTAACAAACTCATGGATCAAAAATTGATTATAGAGGCATTCAATTTACAGAAAAAATCCCAATATAGCAAGCCAAGAATTTGTTATTTTAGTGAGTACATACCGCATTCTTCAGAGACTCTGTGGGTAGATCTTAGTTGACCAACTTCAGTATTTTGCTTCTCTGAAGAGACTGGTTGATACTTTCCATCACTTAATCTAGTCGGAGTCTTTTGCCGTCTACCTCTCCTGCGTGAGCTTCGGTCAGAAGGTAAAACACCATCTTTCAGAACTCCTCCATTGTTTAAGCCTGCAAGAGGAATCATATGATAGCACTTTCAAAGTTTAGTGAAGTTACCAGAAGGGGCCCAATACACAGCGAAAACTCTTCTTAACTTTCCAAGATAGTGAGAAAGATTGCTACCAGTTCTCCGTGCAGTCCCGTTGGTGGTGTTCTTCAGCAGACTATCCGGAATGGGCATAAATTCATCCTTCTGTATTAAGGTTTCCTAGAAATGCAAGCTCGTAAATTTCAGTAAGTTTAAATAAAGATTATTTCTCTTTCTCGAAAAGGAATTATCATAACATTTTAACTAATATAAAGGCAGCATTACACTCTTTTCATAATGAGTGGCCATAAGCAAAAAATAGGTAGCAGCATTATTTCCAACTTGAGGACCTTTGAGAAAAAATCCTCACCTTGCCATTTGTACATGGCTCATTGGCATCTTGGACATCATAATTGTGCATCAAGTCAGTATCAGGCATTGCAACTGCTTCCATCTTTTCAGGAATTGTTCTGGATATCTTCTTATGCAGTTCCTCGAGATGCTTCTGTTTTGCCTCATTTTCGATACGTCTTTGATATTCCAGAGTTTCTTCAAGCTTTCTTTCCTCTGCTTCTAGTTCACTAATGCGTCTGTATTCCTCTTCCTGTAGTCTCAAAGCATCATCATTCCCAGCTACAGCACTGTCTGCATCTGGATTGTCTCCATCATGAGCATTTGGAAGTGATCTGCAGCAATACAGTAAAAGAAAAGGATAATAAAGGAGAATTTAGAAGAAACACGGGAATAACATGCACATTAAAATGCCCCGCGTGCAAAAAGAGACATACATCTCTTCAGATGTCTGATCACGAAGCATATTCAGCTCACCATAACCAATGACCTGCAAAATAGTAGTTGGAATGTAAAGCAAGTTAACCGTAACTTCACATCTCACAGTTCTCATAATAAACATATCGACGATAATAAACCATAAAAAGTCTCGTCATATGGTTCAAACCTTTAAATCCTTGTTTTTCCGATTATCCTTGTTCTTTTTCTTATCCTTCGTCTTCTCATGCGCATGTTTTAAGTTCTCACCTCCCCCAACACCCTTATTAAAATCTAGAGCAAGTTCTGCTAAAAATGCTTCTCGGGCTGCATCAGATTTCTCAGTGGCATCTTTCTCCGCCATATCCTCCAGTTGAGCCTGAAAATAGGTGAACAAAGGATACCTAAAACTCGCTGCACAAGGTCACAAGGAAGCCGAGGGGATGTTTATAAAACTATGTTATATTAGAACACAGACCCGCAAAAATGATTTCACTAGAGGCACTAAGATTGCTTGAAAATCATCGGCAGCCTCAGGCTCAAGCTTAACTTTGAACTGGTGCATCACGGTCATAATTCGCATGATTCTTGAATCAATTTTGCTGAGCTGTATCACTGAAAAAAGTGAGATAAAGCAGCAAAGCAGACCCCTACTGATGGAAAAAATAAAAAAAGAACTAATGCAACAACCTCAATAGAAACTTGTTCTTTCTGTCTCTGTATTGCCACTTCTATGCAAGAGTCCACCTGATGCAAATAGTCCTTAATTCCCCAGTCATCATCTTCACCAGATTCTATGTCACAAAGATGAGATGTCACACCAGTATAAGTTTCCTCAAAGCCAAACTGGTTGACATTCAAGGATTCAGCATCCTTTAAAACATTTGTGATTGCGTCCAACTCGGACCTATTGCTGATTCTGGTCATTTCATTGTCATGCTCAATGAGTTCTTCTCGACGCTTCCTCAGGACAGAGTCATAACTTTGGCGAACATAATCCGTAACATGATCTCTTTTCTTGCCCTCTTCCAAACAGAAATCCTCAACAGCCTGCAACGCCTCCTCATAACTTAAATGCTCACATTTTCTCTCACACAAGCCCTGAAGATGGTAAAATTCCTTCTCAAGCAACTGAAGAATTTCCATACCTTGCTGTGCTTTCTCTTCTCTTGTACGCTTCCAGGATGCCAATTGTTCCCCACTTGAGGGACCAGTAAATATCCAGGATAGCAATGCATCTGAATCAAGTACAACCCCATTCTCAAAGTTGAGACATGATGCAGTTGCTGCACTAGAATCATTACTATCAGCATTATCGCATGATGAAGGAGAGAGCTTGCAGGGAAGAAAATGCTCATCAAGCACCAAAAACGAAGTCCCTGGACAAAGAATTACCCGCTCCCCATGGTCAACATCCTTCATGCCGCTGTTTAAATCACCGGTGGGATTATTTCTATCAGAATATCTACCTAGTCCGCAAGAATGAGAAATTTCCTGCAAAAAATTCAAGATTTTCTTGAGCTCTGAAGCACCTAAAAAGCAGATGCACAGAGGTGTTTGGTCCACATTGGAATTAAGAAGCAGAGAACCAAAGACACCTTGCAGCTCCTCCACTGCAAAGTGTATAACCTTGCTAAGATGACTTGAAGCAAGATACTTCTGTTTGATAAGAGCCTGAAATATGGAATGGATTTTTTCAAGAAGCTTTGCACGCTCAGGATCATCAGACGAAGGCCAGTTTTTATTAATGAGACTTTCCTTACTGTCTTGATCACCATCATAACGCATCCACTCAACATCTTCATATTCCCTGCTCTCTTGGGTAGTAGCATTGCAATTATCATCCAATTCCTTCTTTCCAATTGATGATTCCCATTCATATTCACTGCAATAAGAGTCAACAAAACATTCTTTGGAATCATCTGAGTCATTTCTTGTGTACGAGTCGTCATGAAAATCAGGTACCTCAGATTTTGAATGTTTTTCGAGCATCCTACTTGCAGCAGTTAAATCCAACGGTTTCCAAGAACAGTTAAGAAGCATCTCGGCCCACTCCTTCTCAACAGCTTGGGGTAAAATCGACTGCAATTTGGGTATCAAAATCCCCATATGATCCTGCACAACATGCTGCATGTACAAATCTCCACTAGTAAATTTCTCGTTGCAGTGACAGCATTTCCAAAATTTCCATACTTTGTTTAATTCACCAAAAGATAAAGCTTCATTAAGCACCTCGCTTGCAGACAAGTCCTTTAACAGACCGAAATGAGCTTTGAGATCCGATATTCTAACTCTAAGCAACTCTTTCCTCCCATCCAAACTCATTGAGTTCCAATATGACTGGACCAAGTCCCTTCTCTCAGCTGAAGACGAATTTTTCCTCACATTCCCACTTTTCCTTCTTTCTGCCACTCTCTGCCCCAACCCAGAACCAGAATCCAACAACTTGGTATTATTTTCCCCATTTCCCAACTGGGGAGACTCGGACTTCTGCTGTAAAAGCCGAGCTGCGGCTACCCTCACCTCAATCTCCTTCCGTCGTTCCTCAGGAGTCTTAGTTGCCTTCTTAATCTCATTTGGCCTTCTAGCCTGCACCAATCTCAATTCCATTGGGTCCTCTGCCACCCTCCTTATTGGAATCAAACGAAACTTCTCCTCCCCATTGCCTAAATTCTTCATCCACGTTGAAATTGATGCAATGTTCGACTTCTGAATTAAAGATCTAAGCTCACTTTGCACGTGGGCAACTCGAGCCTCGGATGTAGAGATCCTCTGCTGGCTCTCCTCTTGCAAGCTCTCCTTGGCAGGGTCCACAGGGTTCTCAATTGCCAATGCCCTCTCACACTCTTGCACCACCTCCTCGTACTCCTTTCCCTCATTTGCCGCCTCATACAACAAATTCGCATAAAAATGTGCAAACTCAATAGAATTCGGGGACAAAGTCATGGCTTTCCTCGCGCTCTCAATCGCATTCTTCAAATGCCGCTGTTTGGCATTCGGGTCGTCAATAATCAAGGCTACTTTCACACAAACAGTCCCCTGAACACGGTGAATCAAAGCCGAGTGAGGGGAATTCTCATGTTTAGAGCATAAATCCTTCATCAACCTTAGGGCTTTGGTATGGTTCCCCCGCCGCAGTGACGTGAGTGCCTTCTCACATTCAAACTTGATTGCACTATACGATGAAGGGTTTGCAATTGCATCGTTCTTACTTTCCAAATTTAGGGCCTCGAGTTTTTCAGCTATGTATGTGGTGGGATTTTGTATATTATCCGAAAACGTTGCAGCACCGTCGACGGCAACAATTGCAGAGGACGGCGCCACGTCGGACGGTGGCTGTGAGGATTTGGAGCGCGGAGCGAGATTTCGCTTCTTATTCCCCATATCAATAATTCAAATAACTACTCAATTGCATGCATATATACACATATATCCAATCATATATCGGCTCTATCTATCTTCTTCTGTATAAATGGGGAGAGAGAGAGACTTACTCAACAATCTTGGTCAAAAAACGATCGGAAGCAAGGAAGTGTGCAAAGTGAGTGATTTTTTATTTCTTATTTTTGCAACTCTGCTATATATTTTTTTTATTTTATTTTAAATTTTTTGGGGCAACGTTGTAGGGGTAGGTGGCGAAATGAATTTGTTTATTTCTTCATTTTTGGTTGAATGAGATTTTCTAACAAAACAATAATTATAGGACACGTTGAATAGTGATTAAGAAAATTAATTTTTTAATTGTTAAAGTGAATAGTGGGTTTCGCCTGTGATTGAAGAAATCAAAAATAATTACTGAAATAATAAAATAAAAATCAAAAAATTATTTTTTTAGGGTGAAAATTTGCTACCAAACGAGGGCATAATAAAAAAATTGAAAAGGTGGATGTTACACAATGCAAAATTTGAAGGAAGATGATACGTTTTTCTAGAACTTTTAATTTCTTAAAGTATTAATAATGCATTACAATATTCTTTATTGATGTCTAAAATTTGAGATATGAAATCTAAAAGTTGAACCCCGACCTTGAGGGCCTATATTGTCTTGTCCTTAGAGTATCGTGAGGGAGGTAAATCGCGAAATGTGCCTCAACAGATTAGGAAACAAGAGTTTACTCGTACACTGATACCTACAAAGAGTTCAATTTCATATATTAGAAATTGAACCCTCACACTGCGACTGCCAGCAAAGCTCACAGGGTTATGCCCCGAAGGATGTTGAGATATGAAATATAATTAATATAAGGTGTTGTGTATGAATATTTAAAACTTGTGGCCAAAATGTGTCAATGAGTAGGATGCATTTATATTTTGTATCTATTTAGTAATAAATAAATTTATTTAATTTTCAGATGTGGCTAACCTTGCTTACGTTTGATAAAATGCATAAATTTTGAAATTTAAATACAACACTTTAAATTTGAATTATGTTTCTCAATTGTTAAGATAGGGATTATGGGTAGACAAAAGAATCAATACTAATTGAAACAACCCAGAATCAATATTCGATTCGGGAATAGACGTGTTTAGGTTCAATTTCATTTCTAATACATGTAATCGAAAACGTTTAGGGTTATGATTTCACATAACTATCATATACGATTCTCAATTATATAATTATTTCTAATCAATTTTCCAAAGTTTATAAGTAAGAACCGTAATGTAATTTTACCCTTTCTTAGTGTCGAGTAAAAACTATTCCTATATTTCAATTTCAATATCTCTATTCCGTATTAAAATTTAGAAATTAACAATTTCATAGTTCTTAAGCAGAACATGCTTCAAATGAATTATACTTTCTCTTGAAACCTATAATTTCCTAGGTTGTGTTATTCTAAGACCACGCCTCAATTTCCCTCTCTCGAGTGCCGAAATTAATTAGCATCAAATCATTCAATTAGTGACCAATTAATTAAAATCATTAAACCAATAACACAATAAACAAAATTGGAAAACCTCATAAAAATAACTAAAATAAATCAAACCATATTCCAAATTGTTGGTTACGTCCAACTCTAGATGAAGTGTTTTGTTTATAGTAGAAGATAGAATTCTACAAATCATGATTAATAGCATAAAGAGGAAAAAAGAATAAAAACTCTTTTGAAGCTTGAATTAATCCTCCTTCTTGAAGTTCTTCTTGATTAGTTGATTGATTTTTCTCCTTCTCGTCCAATTGAATTGTTCTTGAAAAGTAACCTATAGATTGGTATTTATACCTTCTTGAAGTCTTTCCAAGAGTTGGATTGAAATTTTGCTTTTAAAAGATGAAATATTAGTAAAAAAAACCCTAGTTGTACACGGTGTAGCACTTAGGCCCTGCGACTTGGCACCAAGACGTTGCGAATATGGTCAAACTGGCACTTGGATGTGGTGCCTAGGTGCTAATTTTCGAGAAAAAATAAGCAATATGGCACCTAAGCTCTTGCGTTAGCTTCGATTGCAATACATTGCTTTTTTATCCTAACTTTTTCACCATATATTCGATTGAAAAATTCAAAGTGTGTTCGAAAGAAAACTCAAAGAACTACAACTTTACTTAGATAGCTTTTTCCAATTCGAGTGTTTACAATTTTCAGCTAAAAACTTGGAACAGACTTGTGAGGTGGAAAATTGATTTGTGAAAATATTTTGATCATATTTCACCCATTTTTGACTTCAAATTGCACCCTATTGACTTCTAGCACTCTTCAATTATCATTTTGTGGTCCAAACGACTATCGAAAGGTTGCAACTGAGTTCTCAAACTTTGAATTTTACCATTTTCTTCGTTAGTCACTTATTTCTTTCAATTTAGCCTCAATAATCAAGTTTCACCAAATCAACACATTCTCCTTGTTCATGTCAAAATCACTCTCTTCTTCACGTTTCACATCATTCATACCAATTTACCTAACTTATTAAACAACATAAAATACAAATCAAAATGTTCTTAAACTCTAATAATGAAATGAAATATCAAGATGAAATAGCATTAATATGATGAGTGAAACACACTAATCACACGTATGGCAAAGTACTTGAACCAACCAAACAAAAATCACTCGGTTCAATTCTGCCTAAATTTTAAACAAATTTAATTTTTAGCACTAAGAATCAGTTGATTTTATATCAAGCCCAATTCTCGTGGGAGAGCAGATCTACATGGTTTCCTGTGGGGTTAGCTGACCCCACAAATTTTTTGAAATTTAGCCCCTGTTTAGCTCTCATTTTCTTTTATTTTTTTTCCTCTATCTTATTTTCAACTACAAAATATTTCATTAAATAATATTACACGTAAATAGAAAAAATTATTTTTTTAAGGGAGATTTGATAAAAAAGTTTAGTCAAACAATGATATTGGTAAAATAACCTTTCTTCAATATTTTTTGGTCAAATGACCTTCACTTACAAAATACAATAAACAAATAATATCAAATATCTAAAATGCCCTCAATATGGAAAATATACAAATAACCCTTTCAATCCAATTAAATCCCTCAATTCATCTACAAAACACATCAACATGCTTTCCCGGTGGTTTCTTCCCTAAAATCTTGTTATTCATTATATTCTTCTTCTATCTTCTTCAATATTATAAGCATTTGAACAAGAATTTTGGTATCCATATTATCTACATTGAATCTCTACTATATTTAAAGAAAAAAGAAAGGTATTTTTAGAAATCTCACTTACATTGATACTTTTATTGTTGAATATAGTATAAAATGATATTTTAATTTATTTTATTTTCCCATTTGGTGTATATTTGTACCGTCCGCAATTATTGGACGATAACAACACTCCAGTCGTTATCTGTAGTGTAACACGACACTATAGTCGTTATCCTCCATGTAAAACGACGGTACAATTGTAATCTATTTTCATATTATTTTAATATATACTTGAATCAATAAGCCATAACGAAATATATTTATTTTTTGTTATAATAAAACATCATTGGTGTCGTTTTTAGTATTTTACCTAGAAAATATAGAAATGATGTTCAAAAATTAAATTTTATTGATCTAATAACAATTTATTTTTAAATATACAAGTTATCAATTATTCGTATCGTGTTTACATAAGTAACGACACTTGTGCTGTTTCGATAACAGTAACAACACTAATGTTTTTCTCATTTTTTATGTTATCCAAGCAATGAGAGTATTTCCCAAATTATGTGAGGGGCATGTGCATCTCGCGACTTAAATGAGCTCAAATTATATAATATCGAAGTCTGGAAGGCTCGTGACTACTCATATTCGTGTTTATTGACAGAACGACACATGTGATGTTTAACGACACTTGTGTCGTTCTATTGATTTCTCTTATATTTTACTTCATTTTCACCTCGTCAACCTCAAAAATCGGACCTCCTAATATAAGAAAGTCAAAATTATTGATTACGTAATGAATAACGGAAGAATTGGCATAGATTGTAGATGTCGTGTTGGTAAAATCACAAATTACCATCCACATTCGTTGGAAAATCAAAGTAATGAGGTATCTCCCAAATTTTGTGAGCATCATGTCCATCTTGTGACTTAAATGAGTTCAAATTATGGAATATCGAGGCTCAGAAGGCTCGTAGCTACTCGTACTCGTGTTTATCGACAGAACGATTCAAGTGACGTTTAATGGCACATGTGTCATTCTGTTGGTTTCTCCTATATTTTGCTTCATTTCCACCGCGTCGACTTCAAGGATTGGACCCCCCAACATAAGAAAGTCAAAATTATTAATTACGTGACGAATAACAGTAGAATTGGCATAAATTGTAGATGTCGCGATGGTGAAATCACAAGTTACCATCCACATTCGTTGGAAAACAAAAGTAACAAGAGTATCTCCCAAATTATGTGAGCATCATGTCTATCTCACAACTTAAATGGGTTCAAATTATGGAATATCAAGGTCGGGAAGGCTCGTGGCTGTTCATACTCGTGTTTCTCGACAGAACGACACAAGTGACGTTTAATGGTACCTGTGTCGTTCTGCTAGTTTCTCTTCATTTCCATTGCGTCGACCTCAAAGATCAGACCTCCTAACATAAGAAAGTCAAAATTATTAATAATGTGATGAATAACGATATAATTGGCATAGATTGTAGATGTCGCGTTGGTGAAATCACAAGTCACCATTCACATTCGTTGAAAAACAAAAGTAACGAGAGTATCTCCCAAATTAAGTGAGCATCATGTCCATCTCATGACTTAAATGAGTTCAAATTATGAAATACTGGAGCTCAGAAGGCTCGTGGCTACTCATACTTGTGCTTATCGATAGAACGATACAAGTGACGTTTAACGACCCTTGTGTCGTTCTGTTGTTTTCTCCTATATATCGCTTCATTTTCACCGTGTCGACCTCGAGGATCGGACCTCCTAACATAAGAAAGTTAGAATTATTGTTTACATGTCAAATAACGATAGAATTGGCATAGATTGTAGTGTCGTTTAAGACTTTTGTGCCGTTCTGTTAATTTCTTAAATATTTTGTTTCTTTTCCAATGCAACAACCTCAAACATTAGATCTTCTAACTTTAAAAAGTTAGAAATGTTGATCATGAGACAACAAACGGTTGAATTGACATAAATTATACGACATTGAGCTGGTGAAATCACAAGTTATTGTATCGATTCGTTATAAAATATAATCATTGAGCACATC